GAGCTGACATCTCCAGGAACTCTCCAGCCTTACACGAGAAGGCTAGTGGACACAGTGAAAGAGAAAGAAAACAGTTTTTGAATTTACCAACTTTCTTCACATTCTACAGCAAAAAGCATGGTCGCATCAGCCATTACATGTAATGTAACCCCAGTGATTGACAAACTTCATTCTTATCTCTTTTACACAGCGTCTTTGTACTCGTTTTCCCCTCACTGAGCCATTGTGTCTCTGCGTTTCTCCAGAACAGGTATGAGGACAGTTCTTCCTCATACCTGTTCTGGTCTAATGGCATTGTGATGCTTCTCTATGCTAAATGTTAGCGCATGCAACTGCTTCAAGGCTAGATTTAAAAATAGTTTGCTCTGGCAGGCACTTTGATAGTTACACATAACAACTGGTGACAGATAAGCTCATTAAGTGGGCGGTGTGCTGCATTTCAATACAGTGAATGACACTGAAATATCATATGCGAGTTAGAATTAGATGACGAACCTATGAGAGCACAAGTGTATATACATAGTGGTCTGAGGAGGAAGAAGGAAACAAAAAATGTTTTTAAAATAACAAAAGGTGAGAAACAGTGCTGATATGGAAAGCATTTTGTTAGTTCAGTCTTCAGTGCATTCCAGTTCACGGCACTATTATTATTAAAATAATAAATAAAATAATTTTTTCCAAACAATTTATGCATACATAACACATGTAGGTTTGAAAACAGTAAAAGAAAAGAAAGCATCCATGAACCCTATTGATGAATTCGATCCATTAGTGAGGTGGTGTTGAATAAAAGCACTGGGCAAACCTGTACAGGTGAATGATAAAGAACAAACTTGTATGACCACCAACATGAGCATTCCATCATGTAATGAAACTGTGTCATCTTGGCTCCATTATGATAAGAGTCTCAAACAAAAACTACCAAAAGAAAAAAGTAACACTCCCTATGACTCACATTTTTACTTAAGAAAAAAAATACATTAGTATCTACTGGAAAGGTTAGCTACATGGCCCAATAAAAAGCGCCAAACGAGCTTGAGTTAACATCCTCAAGGACACATGTTTGTCAGTGAGCACCTGTGCATTCTGGGAGCTACACTAACATCTCCCTGTCCTTTCACTTCACATTAAACAACCACTAACCTTCATCAACACGTGCCATCAATTATGTGCCTTGTTTCGTAGCAAGCACAGAAAGATATTATGTAACATCGTTTTTGCTCCAAGGTTATTGGCCTGTAGCTTCACTCTATGGTTGGTCGACGTCCAAACACACTCAGTCAGGTTGTGGTGGTGAAAGTTCCAGCTACTGATAAGAAGGTGACATACACACATCAGCTTCAGTCATTTTCCACACGCACACTTAACTCACTGCATTCTGTGCCTCGCACTGGCGCTGGTAGTCCAGCACAGGCCCCAGGGTGCTGTGGGATGGCCACTCTCCACCGCGATCCTGTGCTGTCACACTCCGTGTACTCAAAGTAGTAATCAGTCTGCCAGGGAGATACACAAAACATAAGAAGTCAGTCAACATAGCAGGCTTGGACATAAACCCTGAGTAAACATAGGCCAGAGGCAGGTCAGCAAACATCTCCACCCAAACCAAAGCACAGAATCATCTCTTCCAGATAAGAATCACCAGCAAATCAGAGCAGACTGCTTGCTACTAACAATGAATTACTACAGAATCCAGCTGCTATTGGCTGAAAAACATGAGTGCCAGTCACAGTGTAATCTCTAAAGCTAAAACCATTCTTCTGCCCCTGGTCACAACAAACCATCTCCATGGTGATAGGAGTAGGGGAGATGGCAGCAGTGGGCTGCTGGTGAAAGAGGCTGAGTCATTTTACCAGCAGCTTTTAACATTTCAAGTAGGCTCACTTAGACATTCGATTATTGCATGTAATTGTTTTAATCTGTGGCCCATGAGTGAAAAGCATTGGCCCAGTGTTCTTGATTCCACTTCTCCTCATCTTGTGTCTACAGAGGCGGGTGGCCTAATTTCTGACAGTTTACATAATGCTATTCCTTGAGCCAAAGCAGATTTTGACACCCCGGCACATGCAGGCTGTTGTGTGCGGAGTCCCTGGTTTTAAGTGGGTCTAAGGTTAGAGCTCAGCGATGCTTTCCGATAAAGGTCACAAGAAATGAGGCTAAATCAAGCATATTAATACACAAACTGTTTTTACTGCTGTAGTGATACAAAAAATAAATACAGGATTGTGAACTGTGCAACACTAAACCCTCGTTATCTCTTGCGACTCCCATAAGAGCTGTGGTCAATCACTGATGTGGCAGCTGTTCAATATTCATCTCACACCATGATTCAGCAAAGTC